AAGCAAATAAAAGTAAATTCAAGTTATATATTTTTATAGTCATTTTTATAAAGTTATATTTTGATTATATTATTGATGTTTTTTTAACTGTGATTTGCATGAATTCAAGAATTTCTCATTGCATGTTCCCAACAATTTCCAATTTCTCAAATGTCATATTTGAATTTTTTGTACAAACAAACAATAAATAAAGTAGTATAGATTATTATAGATAGTATTATAAAATATAGTATTTATACGTCATGGTAGTATTTGTTTATGCTGTTTTTTAGTATGTATGCATGTACTGTATGTATGTATTTATGTATAAATAAATAAATAAAGCTTAAAAATCATGTGATTTTGTGGTGAAATGGAACCTGGACATTTTCATATCATGTTTTTTTTTTTTTTTTGGTTTGTTTTTTAATAATCAAATGTAAAATAGCACTGCATAGTCTTCACTGTATAGATTAAATATAGATTAATCCTTATAAAAGTTGTTCAGTCAAAATCGGTGAGATTTTTTTTTCTTTGACAGAAGTTTTCTTTTAGTCTGCTTTCACTTTAAGGAAAGCACGGATCCAATATACTGATACACATGCGACAATTCTGTCAACTATCCCGAGCGTCTTTTACGCTCGCCCTTCAGACAGTCTTATCGTCCTGACATATGAGTTTGAACGAGAATGCACGCGTTGACAGTAATGCATAGACGGACATTGGTGAAAATGTGGACAGTGTCTAAATAAGGTGCCTATTTATGTTACAGATATTGATATTTTACGTCGGGCAAACGCTTCCCCTTGATTACAGATTCAGCGGGGCCCAAAAGGAAGAGCACAGGGGTCTAAAGTGTCATCCTCCCATTAAGCTGGGCTTGTGTAACCATAATGGCCACAAAATAGCAGCCAGAACACACTCTCATGCATATGGAAATGAACGGCCATTCATTCATATATCAGCGATGCAGGCCGACTCCATCTGAAACGCATTAGTATTCGACGAATTGCTACGCAGAAGTGAACTACAGCCGATCTGACTGCAGTTCTGTCATTTCCGCCGTTTGTTTTGTCATCGTTTAAATGGCTGCTGAAGCATCAGCCCATCATCTGACTTTGATTGTAGCATTAGGATCAGCAAAGCAATCTGTTAAGCCTATTAACAATAATAAAGGAGGGTTTTTTTCTGTAAAATGATTTACTTTTTGACAAATCATTATAAACCAAAAGATGTTCGACTATCACTGTTCTTTTTGTTTTGTTGTTTTATGATTATTATTAGTACGGCCTACACGCGATCTGTTCTATTTGCCTGCACCTTTGCAAGCTCATTAGTCAGGGTAGTATTTTGATTGAAGTCATTATTGCTTTTCTTTTGTAGCAGCACCGTAGAGATTAACACTGAACCGTGTTGTATGAGTAGACAAAGCCTCCACAGTCGGTGCAGTGGATTACTGTCACTACGGAGGTATAGGGAGGACGAGGCGGCCCATAATTCCTATAGAAAGGTAGACAAACACACAGCCGCCAACCAACAACTTTTCCCGCGGAGGCCTTTTGTCTTCCCAAAACCCATAAGAGCGCTGACCCAACCAGAGCCAAAGTCTGTGTAGACTTGCTATAAGTGACTTTTGTTGTTCTTGATGCATTCTTCTTCTTTTTTCAATCGGCCCCTTTTCAGATGGTGTGGAGCTGTAGAGGGACTGAGGCGGGTGAGAGCAGCCGCGCAGCGAGCACTCTGAGCGGGCACACGGAGCGAGTGGACGCTGATGGATCATGAGAGCGGCCGCCGGAGGAGAGCGCGGCCGGAAAGAGCGCCTGCTCGCTGGGCGCGCATGTGAGGATCCGCCCGGGAGGCAGACGGAGCTCTGGATGTGTCAGTCAAACTGAGTGTAAGTAACTCTGGTCTGATGCTCGGCGTCTGCGCGTGTCTGTCTGCTGGGACAGGATATTAATTAGAGATTTAAATAGCGATGCAGTGCATTACTGTCACTACGGAGGTATAGGGAGGACGAGGCGGCCCATAATTCCTATAGAAAGGTAGACAAACACACAGCCGCCAACCAACAACTTTTCCCGCGGAGGCCTTTTGTCTTCCCCCTGTTCCTTTCTACCCCAGTGCCCTGTCAAAACCCATAAGAGCGCTGACCCAACCAGAGCCAAAGTGTGAAACCGACACCGAATCAGACCGGGATCTTTGCTTCAAAGCATCATTTTCAATTTAAGCTTCTCTTGTTAGATATTTCAAAGCTTATTAATTAGACATGACAATTGCAAATTCAGCAATGCATTTAAGTACATGCAAGTAGAAAAACATGCAAGCTCCCAGTAGAAAAACAGTAATTGGGATTTAATAAATTCATAACATTTCTAAACTGATGGATTATGTCATTGTTTTTACAACTGTCATTATATTATACCATGACTTGATTATGAAGAGGAAATAATAATAATAACAACAACAACAACGATTGACTGTTATTATATATTTATTAAAATGTATTTTATATAGTGGTTTCTTGTTGCTGTTGTTGTGATACATTTATGGAAGCACTGAATGCTCCCCGGCTATACATGCCATGGCAGTGTATTTTCTGAAGTAAAATCTTTATCAAATAGCCATTCTTTGCGTTTGAAAAAAGCCAGCCCATTACCTCACGACTGCTTTTGTTGGCCCTTTACAAGAGCGAACAAAAACTGTTATTCAGGAGAAGGCTTTAGATTTTTTATTGTTGGTGGAGCTCACAGCGTTATTGTATTAAAAAGAGCCATCTGTGCCAGAAACAATGGCTTCATTCTTCTTCTTTTTTCAATCGGCCCCTTTTCAGATGGTGTGGAGCTGTAGAGGGACTGAGGCGGGTGAGAGCAGCCGCGCAGCGAGCACTCTGAGCGGGCACACGGAGCGAGTGGACGCTGATGGATCATGAGAGCGGCCGCCGGAGGAGAGCGCAGCCGGGAAGAGCGCCTGTTCGCCGGGCGCGCATGTGAGGATCCTCCCGGGAGGCAGACGGAACTAAGTAACTCTTAAATGTAAGTAACTCTGGTGTGTGATGCTCGGCGTCTGTGCGTGTCTGTCTGCTGGGACAGGATATTAATTAGAGATTTAAATAGCGAGTTGCATGTTTGTTATTTTAAAATATTGGTGGTTGATTAATATGCGTTTTTAGGAAGCTGCGTTATTTATTCAAGTTATTTATTTATTTATGTTTTTTGCTTGTTTGTTTGTTTTATATATTATACGTGTACAGTAGATGTCTACTTGTTGACAGTTCGCGGCTGTCTGGAAAACTTTGGGGGGGAGGGAACAAACGTTTGATTTTCAAGAGTTTTTAATTGCTTTTAATCTTTAAAACGTATGTTATAATAAAGTACAATTAACACACAAATGTGTGCTTGTTATCTGCAAAATTGAGACATTGGATTTTTTTTATAGTCAATACTTAAATTAATTCTAAAGATTATTGTGATAAACTGTCATGTCAGGTTTCAAATGAGGTCAAACTGTTTATGTAGCTACTGATGAATTGCAAAATTTCATTTTTTGTTTGTTTTAATGTTTAATTTGGTTGATTTTGCCCGCCGTTGTTTCTGAAATATTTTATAAGCACCTATATAAATTGGATACCGTTATCAAGCTGATATATTAAGCAGTGTTATTTGTCATATTTTGATCTGCAGTCAGCGCGGCCCCTAGTGGAGAAAACTCTCTCTCTCTCTCCTGTTTCTGTTTCTCGCTCTCCCCCTCTTTATGCCTACTAATTTGTAGCTCCTAATTTTAGGGCTTAATGCTTGAATAATTCTAACTCTCACTTCAAAGAAAGTTTTATGCAATTGTTGTGTTCGTTTCTGTGTATATGTGTTGGCATGCACTGAATTTGTTGTGAGATATCGAACGCACACATAAAAACACTAACGAATGAAACATTTGTAGTTATTTTCGATTATTCATTTAGATCATATGCTTTAATTTAGATATGTATTATTAGGGAGAAATTTCGGGGGAAAAAACATGCAAACGATTTTTGTACGGTTTCAAATAACGGTTCTCATAATGTTGCGATTAATTTTACTTAGCCTACGTGTTTGTTTTTACGTATTATTTCTATTTATCATCATTTATTAGTTTTTTATGTTTATTCATTTTCAGTTGTCAGGCAATTCTTTATTTCTAAAACACCAGTCCTAGTCAAAACCAACCATTAACATGTATTTTGAGTTTAATATTAAGAAACGTGTTTTTTTTTTCACAAGCTGCTAACTATTATTTAGAACTAAGACAATTAACAATTCAGGAGCCGCTCTGGGATGTTAGAGATTCCCCGCTGTTCTACACATTTCCATAAGCAGATTAAGGCACACTCAAATGCAGATAGAGAGAGAGCAGTTTAGAGTTGCATTAGAATGGCGCATGCTGCAGTGCCATCGTGTTCCAATTCGCACGTTGTTAGGCGCTTAATAGAACTTTAAAATGACGATGAGACTATTTATGCAGACATGCATCCTTGAAAAAAAAAAAAGTCTAAATATTTAAAATAAGCAATAGCCTTATATCTTATTTTCTGTTTGCATTTTAGAATTACATTTTGTATAGGCTATGTTAACAATTTATAACACTTTATGATTTTGTTTTATATAGCTATAAAACAAATGTATAAAGCGACCCTGCCTAAATGTGGTGGGGAATACTTTAAAGCAGCAGTCGTTGGGCTTTTCTTATATTAATAATATCACCACAAGAGGACGCTGTTGAAACATAATAAGATCTGCTTTCGTGCATTGTAGAACAAAAATGATCCGACGTGTTTTTCCTGACATTAAGCCTGTTTGTAGGCTATATTAGTTCCACTTCTTTCGTCTCGTCGCTTTATTGTCAACTTCTGCAGAAGAATGATCAACTTTAAATCGTAACTCTTTAGGAAAAGATCCGCTTGCCAAAAATGGAACTGCGTGTTTTATAACAGCCTATTTGTTTTTAACAATTGGATTTCATCAAATTGCACGATTATGAGGCTGTTATTTTGAAGGAGGCTGTGCTGAATAAATCCTGTCCCTCTTGTCAGTCTTCATGGAGTGAATTCTAATAACACAAATCCTTAGATCTCAGATGGTCAGTGTAGTCAGCTTTTGTGGTGCTTTTGTTCACAGTGATGTAATGACAAGAGCCGAAACAAACCTACCTATTTGTGATGATTGACGGCTCTTCATTTTCTAATTCACATTCAACTTGAGCCCGTTGAAGTGTAACCTAGTTCATAAACAGAGAAATCCTGCCACACATTCTGGATAATGCTTCAAGAAATAAGAAATTAAATAATACTTTTTTAAAACAAGTTGTAGTGCGCATACGAGCCATTGTTTATTCAATGTGTTAACATATGCTAATGATACAAATAACAAGCGCGAAATGAATAACTTGAATAACATAAATAAATATAATTGTAGGCTACATGTGTATTCAACACACTTCAGTAGGCCTAAACGTTTCATTCACGAGAAACATTGAAACAAAAACTTGAGATGCTACAATACATTACATGATGAACTGTTAGGCTACTAAAAATGTGTTTTAAAATGATTTTCGATATTTTAACACTCCAGTTAAATTAGAAGTTAACTTTAAAAAAAAACAAAGCGACTAATCCAAAAGCTTGATAGGCCTACAGCAAAAGCAGAAAACTGAAATGTATTCCAATGTTCGATTTTAGAATCTTAAAATCACATGTCCTTGTCATAGTTTGATTGGAGAGTCATTTGAGAGAAATATTCTCACTTTAGTAAGTTCTTGCTCTGCTAACACACACACACACACACACACACACACACACACACACAGTGTTACTTCTGTCCGAGAGCGAGAAGCGGCCGTTCATCGACGAAGCCAAGCGCCTTAGGGCTCTCCACATGAAGGAACACCCGGATTACAAATACAGACCCCGGAGGAAAACCAAGACCCTCATGAAGAAGGACAAGTACACCCTGCCGGGCGGACTTCTGGCGCCGGGCGGCAACGGCATGGGCGCCGGTGTGGGTGTAGGGGCCGGGTTGGGCGCTGGGGTCAACCAGAGGATGGACAGTTATGCCCACATGAACGGCTGGACCAACGGAGGCTACGGCATGATGCAGGAGCAGCTGGGTTACCCGCAGCACCCGGGACTGAACGCGCACAACACGGCGCAGATGCAGCCCATGCACCGCTACGACATGAGCGCGCTCCAGTACAACTCCATGACCAACTCGCAGACCTACATGAACGGATCGCCCACCTACAGCATGTCCTATTCGCAGCAAAGCACGCCGGGAATGACGCTGGGCTCCATGGGCTCGGTGGTCAAGTCTGAGTCCAGCTCGAGTCCGCCGGTGGTCACGTCGTCCTCTCACTCCCGCGCCGGACAGTGTCAAACGGGGGACCTGCGGGACATGATCAGTATGTACCTGCCCGGGGCGGAGGTCCAGGATCAGAGTGCCCAGAGCAGACTGCACATGTCCCAACACTACCAGAGCGCACCTGTGCCCGGCACGACGATTAACGGCACGATTCCCTTATCGCATATGTAAATTAACTTTTCTACACTCCTTTGGACTATTTTTGTACAGAACACTTTGGGGAGGGAAAAGTTGTATAGAGCTCAAGGAAAGAACACAAACTTTTGCTTTCTATTTAAAAATGGAACGGTAGGAACTCCACACAGTTTTTCGTTCTGTTGTTCTTTTTTCCCTTTTCTGTTCTGTTCTGTTCTTTTTATTATTCCAGAAGGTGTATGAGATTTGGAAAGCTGAAACGGGGGAGATCGAATCAAATGTTTTATTATTGCAATCGACTTTTGTACAGTATTTATCAAAGACACATAATAACAACCAGATGTAATGTTTGTAAACAGCGGGAAGTTACATTTTTTATAAAAGGCAAAATGATGGCACAACTGATGTTTACTTCAGTATATGCTTCAATATTCTTCTGCAAACGCTGAAATGAAAGAACGGGATAAAAAGAGTTTCTCGATGAAGGTGCATAGTAATAAACCGTTATTTTATTATAGTAGGCTATTGTTATTATTATTAAGTTCTAAATGAGAGAACAAACAGAGGCACTCTCGCAGGTTAGGTTATTTTATTTGATTCTTTTCGGTCTCACTCCTCATCTGTTAGGTATATGAAGTTTGTGTTCTTTATTTTCTCATGGTTTGTAAATTTTCTGTACATTTTCTGTGATATTTTAAGTTTTTATTTTAAAAACTTTCACTTTTCGTAGTTGTAAAATGTGGCCTGTACGCAGTTGCCAACGCTCCATGTATATACTTTAACTAATAACATCATTATAACAGTTACAATCTGAGTTTTTTTTTCAATATGCAGTTTGAAATGAATAAATTTTTGAAATTTGGATATTTGAAATTGTTTCTGGTTTTGATTTTATTTGAACATTTTGGGTTGCTATATGAATCTGATGTTTGGTTTCCTTCTCTAATAATCCCATTTATACAGTCCAAATTAATTGTCATTTTGACGGTTTAATATGCATTTACAATCTCTAACTCAAACATAATTTTAGCACACATTTTACATAAACAGTGCATTATTGCATTGATTTGTCGGAATAAGATGACACACAGAAACATGGGTGCAGCTCTTCTAAAGTAAGTATATTGGAACTGCATGTGCAGAACTGCATTATGACAGTGTGTTTGATTCAAACAAATGAAATGTTAGATGCTATTTCAATTTAGTAATCATTAAGTTAACACCGTTTCTATTTTTTAGTGGAAACGAGGACTGTGAGCGACACCACATCGTGTAAGTTTCTTGCCTGTAAATCTCTGCTCTGCTCGGGGAGATAAAACGGCCCAAATGAAATGAAGACGCACGTCAAGGTAGTCACTTCAACTTCTCATTAGCTATTTTTATATGAGTGCAAGAATTTAATGCACATTCTTTTATTTATTTATTTTAATTTTTCTGTGCGTGCAGATTTTTTTAAGCTGAATATTCATTAAAAAAAAATTGATATATTTAGAGTAGCTGTTTTAAATTTTCTGTAATTTAATAGCAACTAATAGGCCTATTATTATAAAATAATAAATAACATTTACCTCGTTATATTTTAGCCTGTAAATAATACGCATGATATTATAGCTTATAATTTTATAATATTGTATATTTAAAATATATTCTCAAATGTTAACATACATTAGATACATATTGATTTTTTTATGTTTTTAAATAAAATAAAAAACGCTTGCAGTGTGAACAGGGTCCGTCACTCGAGTCGCTGAAAATTACATTTGGTGTTATGCAGAATGAAAAACAAATAACAGTAAAATATGAAGCGTTATGCACTTCACAGGCCCACATGCTTTGCGTTTACATTAACATTAATGTATTAAAATACTGGTTTAGTGCTGGACACAGTTAGAGCCGCATGCTGCTGGTGTTTTTCCGTGCTGTTTGTCAGCCAGTGTCGCTCACTTGAAATCAAGCTGAAGATAAGATTATGGAGGTGAAGTGTGTGGATTTATGGAGTTTAAAGGCTGAAGTGTGTTGGAATATTTTGCTGCTCTGTGGTGGTAGATTAGTGCTGTTTCTTGCCAAGGCGCTGAGGCATCTATTACAGCGGGTCTCGGGGGAGAAGAGCTCACATTAAGCGCTAAATGAATATTTGACGAGGGCTCATTCCGACAAACCTGTCCCTGCCGGACTCTCAAAGGGTCAGGGAGCACTGCTTGAATCCATTATTTATACAAGCGGAGGAATTGGTTGTAATGGCCGAATCTGTTTGATAAAGTGGGAATTTAAGTCTGGATGTGAGTGGACTGAACACGCATCTCGGAGCGTTCCTTGTTGAAGTAGCTATATTAATAGTTCAGTAGGCTATCTAAAGAAAGTGTTTGCTGAAATGTTCGTTCGGTTGAGGTTTGAGGTTCTTTACACCTGGACTTTCAAAAAATAGTTCTTGTGTAACCCCCCAAATTAGCTATATTTCACGCCAGAAGGATTCATTGTGCTATTGCAGAACCATAATCTGCCGATATCTAGTCATTTTCCTAAGAGTGACATCTGAAAAATAGGCCTACTGATTTACCCAAAAAAAAAAATAATGTATCGTAGACTTTTGATGCTAGACATATGCACTCATGCACTGAATAAAATTTGGCGCGTTGGGGGAGGAGGGATGTAATTAACTGCTGCGGTGTTTTGGCTTATGCTGATACCTAATATAAGACTTCGAATGACACGAATTATTAATGACATTACCGAAATCATCAGATTTTAAGCATGTTGAGGTCTTCTATGAAAATACTTTTTGAGGTCTTCATGAAAAGCTTGATTTAGCTGCCATGTATGTGCCTGGCTATATAAAGAATCGGCACAAAAACCTTTTTTTGTTTAGAATTAGAAAGTCATGGAAAGTGTTTTTGTTGAATTGCACGTTTATGGGTATATATATATATATATATATATATATATATTTATGGCTGAAATCTGATTTCATCTCAGTTGACAGTAACATGGACTTTTTAATAGCCTACTTAGAAAGAGTTTTTCCATTTAGGCCTCAAAGAGCGCCAAACTAACTCATCCTTCATAATGCAATTCATAATAATTTGGCTCGGCAAAACAAGTCTTGCCGATGCCAATTTCATTATAATATTGAGGATTATAGACATGTGGGCGTTTGACCAATGGAAACAGTCAAAGAATTGACCTACAAACAACGACTATACTGCCTACTAATAACTAGAACAATACAAATTATAAATGTGGTTATAGTATTGTATCTATTGGTTACCGTTATGTTGTATTATCATATAAGCTTATTAAACATTTATTGATTTTATTAAAATGTAACATCACCTAATCTTCATAAAAGTTGTCATTAATTCTATGAGGCCTATTATTATCATCATGTTCGCAAATTATTATTAAAGTTTCTTTTTCATGTTATACTCATTTTAATTCTATAAAGAATATAATGTAATATATGAACTAATTATACAGTGAACATCAATGCGTAGCGTGTGTGTCCTTGTGTTTGTAATTTGCTGTCTGCTGGCGCTGAAAGTAAATGGGTGGAGAAAGGCGCAAACTATTTGGAGAAAGTAATAAGTTGTTTCTTGTTGCGGTTTTTGCGGGAGGGGGCCAGTGATGGAGGGGGACCGAGCATTGTGAGATGGGCTGAATTGAGAACTGTCAGAGATGTCTCTCATTGGGAGAATGACCCAGTGCAGGTGCAGGGAAACAGGGGGATGGGGGTCTCAATAAGACCACACACTGTCAGCCAGCACCTGTTCACATCTTTGTGGCTCTTCCTGCCCTTAAGGTATCTACATGCCGTGGACTTCCAAGACTTTCACTTTTAATTCGAGCCGCTAAATCGAATAGGCCGCGCATTCGATTCGAATTCATAATTAGGCTTTTATCAAGAACACATTATTTAAGGATCTCATTGTTTGAACGTTAAGTCACTAAAACACATAATTTAAACGTTATATTTCAATGCTGATAGAATTAGCTATTTGATAGCGATCCCACCGTTTAGTTTTAAATAAAGTTAAGAAGAAATCGAAAAGGACGTTTTGGACGTATAGTGCATTCTTAATTTTTCCGTTTTAATTGGTTGTTAGTTTTAATCTTAATATGCATGGCATACAATGAGCCACAGTTCTCAAATGTGTCTATATGATGCCAATACAGACCTAAAAAAAAAAAAAAATCGACGCTTCGCATTTTAGGTCACCCCATACCTATCTTGCATGAGTCTAGTTAATTCTCAAGTGTGGTTAGTGGGTCTAAATCTTTGAATGCCCCCTGTGCTCTCGTCAGAGACCCTGCTGGAATATAACGTTTTTTTCTTCTTCTTTCATTCAGACTCAAAGAGCTACTCGGGCGTTCCCTGTAAGTGACGGAATGTAATGCTTTAAACAGGACACACGTTTGGAGCAAACAAAAGCACTGCGACCAAAGGACACTTCCAAATTATGCATATTATTTTTTTTAGCGCATGATTTCGTTCATTTCGAACATCATAAAACGAATGCACGTGATCAGAGTTGCCTGGAACACAGCATACCGCATATTGGTCAATGACAATTAAGGTTGTCCGAGATTATAAAAAAGACAAATACATTGTTAAAAGAGGTTTAAACGATGTTCTAAAACAATTGTGATTTTAATGACTGTAAAAATGTCAAGTGGTGTAACCATCAAGCAAAATTAGCTATCCTAACTAAAATTGCTTTGCACCATGAATATACGTGAACGTACAAGACCTGACAATTATTTCCAAATGATATATATATATATATATATATATATTATTATTATTATTTTTTAATAGGATGTGATGCGTTTGTTTTACTCTGAAAAGAGCGATAATAAAATGGCTTCTTGTATGTTGGTTATAGCACAATAAATTATTCCAATAATCCAAATGATGATTATGATCCAAAATAATCCAATAATCAAAATTGCTTCACTGTTTTTGTTTTAATTTTATATAACACTTTGCTCTCTCTCTCTCTCTCGCCCCAAATACATCAACATAACTTGTCAATTGGAAATGATATCATAAGTCATTAGAAAACACTTGTATTTAAGTCATTTTCGCATGAAATGCATTTCTACGTATATTGCTGAAGAACTGCACGTCCTATCTATATTTAATGTATCTAAATAAGACTCTGACCTCTAGTAGCCTACTGAACGAATACAATTTAACGAGATTCTTGACCCGTAACTTTCAATATACGTTTAAAATCTCCCACAATGGTTATCATATAGAAATCCAACCAATAAGGTGGTGTGATCAAACGCGTGGTGTGAGTTAAAAGAGGGTGTTGTTGCTCGTATGGGGTGATACGGGAGATGCTGAAGTGTGTGCTGCCCGGTCAGGGCATTTGATTGTAAATAAGAGAGTTCACACGCCGATCGAGTGACTAGAGGGAACAGGCAAACCATTTGAATCAGGTGCCTATCTCGCTATCGAGGAGATCAGAGCTCAGCCAAATGACATCTCCCTCTGAAAAGCCAATCTAGTCGCAGGATGAGATTTCACTGTCTTTGCGCTCAGCCCGCCCAATTAACATAAGAAACACAGCGAGTCCCATTAAAACATGCAACAGTTGGTGGGCAGTTATGGCATTATCTGCCAACAACCCAAGTGCTGGGTTCCCTTTGGGCAATTGTATCCCAACAAAGCTTGAATTATCACTTTACTTGCGATTGATTTATTGGTAGAGCTTTGCATGTTACACTCAGTTAATGTATATATAATTAATTACTTTATCAATAAGTATAACAGTGTGAAATTACAAGGTTTTTCCAGAAATAATTACATATGAAGTAGCTTGCTTATTAGTGTAATTCAATGCTTACTGTTCATGTTCATATGAACACAGTAAGTTAACACTTATTTCACTGTATTACTAACATTGCAAGTGGTGACCCGAATTTGTTACCTATTTGATTTAACCCATAAAATTTAGTTGTGTTAATATAAATTAGGTTGTTTCAGTGATATTATCATTTGACTTGTATACAATCAGTTAACTTAGATGCTACCATTTTCAGGTTACCATTTTTTTCCCAGTGAAACTTATGTTTTCTGTATAGAACTTACTTAAAGCCTTTATGTACAATGCATTATAGAGGTATTCATAATGCACATTATATTGCATTATAATTTCTCATAAATAACTGTAACCAAAGTTAAAATACATTATAATATTTGAAGGTTTGTTTTCATCTGTTTTAATGCATTATACTTCTAAAAGGTGTAACAATGAATAGGTAAGTATTATAATTGATCATAACTGTGGTTATAATTATTCATGAGAGCATACAATGCATTACAAGGTGCATTACAAGGCATAAT